CCCATGGACGGCTACGGAAAGGGGCTTATAACGGAAAGCTGCACTCAGCCGCACTCTTCTGGTACCGCCTGTCACCCACCTCGTCCCCAGCCGACCATGGTAATTGGTTCTTACATCCCAGACGTGATCTGCTCTTTCAGCCACGAGATCTGATCTCTCACCTGCTGCCGCTCCGCTTTGCTGCCCACAGGTGTACGCGATGGTCTGCCTCACGGCCAAGGCAGCGGCTGAGCTGGCATCCGGCGGGCGCGAAGGCCAAAAGCGCACAAGCCGCCCGCCGCCGGCTTGATGTGTGTGTCCAAGGTTGCTGCCTGAGCACCTTGTCATCAAGCTGGGTATGAACCATTTACGGGAATTCGGAAATCGGACGTTTCAGTCCCAACCTGCAGCCCTCAACTGGCACGCAGCAGTCTGCCCGTTCAACGCCGCCATCGGTCATCACGTTGCAGCTGCAGCACCTCGAATACTCGCGGGCACCTTGACGCAGCGCGGCATATGCTTCCTGGACTTGGCACCCCCATCATGAATGCTGTTTTTCAGCTGTTTTCCATCTGATGTGTGCGTGTGAGAGCACGCGTGCTTCCTTTTTTGTGCTTTCTCAGCTTTGCCACGTGTTTGCTGATGTAAATGTGGGTGCACCTTACAGCACTGCCTTGGCGCCGCACCATACGGCCATCAGCACGCTGCACCCACCAATTGGGGCGTTGAGGGGCCTCCTCACCTCCTCGCTGCATGCTCTACCCCATACACCGGCATCACGCCTTCTGACTAGCCATTTATGTGCAAATCAGTCCTTCCTACGGGCCGCTGGCTGCATTAGCGCATTGAAGTAACCCTGAACCCCAAGCAAACACTGCTCGAGCATCTTATGCCTGTCAGCAGACGTGCGCCACAACACAAGTAGGCTGCTTGCTTGCATGCTGGAATCCTTGTCATGACGCCACGCGCGCGCTGCGTGCGCCTGCGCGTGTTACATCCGGTGCTCTCACCCCACAACCAACCCGGCAAGACGTACCCCACGACGTCAGTGCGCTCAACCAGCCAGGAGCTTCACAGCTGCTGACCCTCATGTCTAGCATAGTTGAATGTCAACTTGATGCTGCCTGCAACCGCCACTGCCATGCGCAGCGCTGCAGACCCCAACCAGCTGCCTTTGCGCCTTTGACTAGGGACCCCCTCCCTCCACAGGGTTTATCCGCACGCCACGTGGGCAGCGAAACCCGTGCTGTCTGCCCTGGAGGATATCAGGTGGGCAGGCGCATAGCTCAGCAGCTGCGGCCGCCCCCACGCCTGACGCCGCGCGACTGCGAGCGCCACGGCCAGCGGCGCTAGGCCGCACATGCTGTTGCGCGTGCGGGCGGCCGCGGCGAGCAGCGCCGCCGGGTCGCCGGATGCCACTGCCTGCAAATGCATGCGCAGGGGGAGCAGAAACCAGGCTTGAGCGCGCACTGGCAAAGGTAACACCACAATACCTCATGCCTCCATTTTAGAACCCTGGGATCCTTGACTTCCTCCTTGAACTTCGTACCCCTTAAGCTGCAACATCACACGAGCAGCGGTGCCCACACCCCTGGGCTTCGCGTCCCCGCGTGACCAGGATCTCCTGCCCATACCCGCCCTCGCCACCGGTCTAGTAGCTGCACCGCAGCTACCTCGAGCACCGGCGCGTCTTGGCGCCACATATAGGACTCAAGCGGCTCTCCTGGGGGCGGTAACTCTCCATAACCAGGGCCGGCGTGGGTGTAGTCGGAAGTCGCAATCAGAACCACCTCCCTGCCGCCGCCGCCGCCACCGCTGCCGCCGCCGGCGCCGTTGGTGTGATCAAAGTCGTCCAGGCCGCGGCTGCGCGCCCTGCTGCTGCCTATGCCGACGCCTCCGCCACTGCTGGGACTGCTGCTGCTGGCCGCCCCCGTTGCAGCCCAGCCGCCCTCGTTCAGGTCCGCCGCCGCCCCTGCCTCATCTCGCCGCTCCTGCCGGCCCAGCCAGTCGATTAGGCCGCTCACTGCCGCCGCGCAGGCCTCCACCTCAATCAGGGACCCCAGGCGCCCAAGACTGACCGGCACGATCTGCAGCGCGCGCCCCGCCGCCGCTCCCGCCGCCACCACCAGGCCCCCTGCCCCTGCCTCCGCGCCGCCCGCAGCCGGCCCCGCCGCACCGCCGCCGCCGCCGCCGGCCGCCGCGTGGACGTCCCAGCCGCTTTGGGAGAGCCACTGCAGGAAGGGCAGCTGATTCTCGATAGAATGCTCCCGGGCGTGGACGGCCTCGTTTACGAGAACGCCGTGCCGGCTGGCCAGCCACGCGGCGGCGGCGCCGTCGACATCCACTGTGCCCAGCGGGGTCTGCCACGACTGCGCCGTTTGCGAGCGCGTGAGGGGTTGAGTTGGAGAGGCGGCGGGGCGGGGCAGGACCCTATGAAGGGGCCACCAGCTTCCGGGCAGCTGCCGTGCACGCGCACTGTGGTGAACCGATCTGCGCCAGCAGGGCGGTCCGCAAGATGGAACTAGCCGAGCCATGTGTGTCGCATGGGCAGCAATCGCAACCATCCTGCTTCACGTACCCCAGAACCCTGAGCCGAGCCCCTCGGCCCTACACCCCTGCGTGCCCAGCACCACAGGTGCCGAGGTCCACGCACCCTGCTGGAGGACGCGACCGTAACGCCTGGGCTGCAGTAGTGATCGGTGCCCAATAGGACCGCCGTCAGAGCCGCGGGGCCACCTCGCTGGCCGATGCCGGGGTCGTGCGGGGCGTGACGCCGCGCACTCAGGAAGTCGGCAAGGGCCCTGTAGGCGTGGGCGGCGATGACGAATCCGTCGCAGGCGGCGCCATGGGGAACCTGGAGAGGGGCAGGGGGCGGAGATCCGATATATGCATTTCAGTGGGCAGTAATCAGTGTTAGCGCTGGCAGGCAGCCAACCGGCAGCAGCCCGGCTCCTAGTCTGAGGTGTGTGATGGATGGAGGCCCCTTCAAAAGCGCGGGGCGTGCCACTTCTCGGATCTGCCTCTTTCATGATGCTTACCAGCAGCATGCGAATACGCTGCTCCACACAGCCGCCAGCGGTCCTGTCTTCGGTTGTGCCAGCGATCGTGTTCGTGCCGCGTGCGCTCGCGCTGGTTCCCTCAGTCGACAAGGGCCCGGACAACATTGCTGACTGCAGCTCCCTTATCAGGTCTGTGCGCTCTTCGCTGAAAAAGCGGCACAGACATGGCCGCGGCGATGCCATAGGCACTGGTGGGCGCGGCTTGTGCCGCACGACGGGTTTGTCGTGCTGCTGTGGCCGAGGCACGACAACTGGCTGTGCACAGCGCCGCAGCGCTGAAGCAAGCAACTGTGACGCATTCAACACGGCCAGCCTGGCTGCACCCAACAGGCCCGGTGTTCAGAGGCGTTTCGGGGGATTCCGGTAAATTGCGGTGCTTGTGTCAATCGCTGATCGTAACTGTGATACTTGCAGCATTGAGCAGGTTTGCGTTGCGGTCGATGTCTCAAGTGATAGAGCTCGTTGCGTTCAAATCACTAGGCAGCGGGTGTGTCACTCAGCATCGCACGTCTGCGAGGGTGCGATCACGTAGTGGCCTCTCCCATCACGATGGTGATCCGCACTTACGACGAGGTGTGCGCTGAGTAGCGCAGGCCGTGTCAAGCACGGGTCGCCGCCCGGTCAGCGGCACAGCGTGCTGCGCTTCCGATCGCGATGCGCTCCGCCTGCGTGCAGTTCTTCAGGCACGTGCACTGCTGCAGTACAATGCCTTGCATGCCCGCGCACGCGCCGGCCGCCCCCAATTTACGCCATGCGTGTCCGCCCTTTGCGCCGCTGTTGTGGCCTTGTCACTCCGCCCACCCTTCCCTCCCACAACTGCGCTCCCCAACCGCGGGGCTTCCCAACATACTTGTCTCAGGAGGCCGCCTTCATCGAGAGGGTTGGCCCTGTCAAGTACACTGTCAAGCAGGTGGGACCCCCACATGGCGGGGCCTGCAACATTCAACAGTAAATTGCACGACAAAGACCAGGCCGAGCGATGCGGGAACCCAGACGCGCTGCCCCCCGCGCACCGGCTTCTGAGCGTCGACGCGATGGAACACCTCCACGCCATCCAACAACACTGCCGTCTGCCCCCAACCCCATCACCTCGCCTCCGCTCACCGGATCTCGAAAACCTCAAACCAGGGCTTTGTGCCAGGCATGCGCGTGCCGGGGGTCTTCTACGTCAACGACGCCCTCGTCCCCCTGCTGTTTGACGAGCTCAAGCAGGCGGTCGTGCGCAAGGAGGTCGGTGCACCGTCGTCTGGCACGTAGTTGGTACATGCAGCGGCGACCAGTTTGGGGCGGTCGCGATGCATGCATTCGTCTGGGCATGTGCGTGCTCGCACATGCCAGCCGGCGGTCCGCGCAAGCCTCGCACCTTTAGGGTCGGCTCGCCGCTGGCCCCACCCGACGCTAACGGTCTGAAAGTGCCACCGCAGCTAGCGTTGTGCCCGCC